TTCCAATGAGGGCAGTAAAAGTATATAAGTTTAAAAAAGGAGTATAATTCCAAATTATGAAGGAAACAAAAAGGGAGATATTTTATAGGGGGCTCATTTTAGATGCGCAGGGCAAGTGTGGCCTCACTGAGAAACTGACATTGAAGCTGAGATCAAAGAAAGGAAACTAGTTATTCAAAAACTGGGACAAGAGAATTCCAGGCAAGAGAAAGGCCTTGAGATGTGAAAATTGTTTGGCGTGTTCTAAAAACTAAGAGTAGGCCAAGGTGACTAGTGTGTAGCAAGAGAGGAGAAGCAAGAAATGAGGTAAGCCACGTGAAGGTGTGGATCTTTTTTCTCTTTAAAATATTTTTTATTTTATTTTTCTTGTAGTAAAGTATACCTACATAAATTTATCATTTTAACCGTTTTTTAGTGGCATTAGTTATATTCACAGTCCATTCACAAACCATCACCACTATACATTTCCAGAACTTTTACATCATCCCAAACAGGAACTCTGTGCCCATTAAACAGTAACTCCCCATCCACGCTTCACCCCATCCTCTGGTGACTGCTGTTCTACTTTCTATCCCTTTGAATTTGCCTATTCTAAGTACCTCATGTAAGTGTAATCATACAATATTTGTCCTTTTTTGTCTGGCTTATTTCACTAGCATAATGTCTTCAAGGTTCATCCACCTCGCAGCATATATCAGAATTTCCTTCCTTTTTAAGGCTGAATAAAATTCTATTGTATATACCACATTTTCTTTATCCACTCATCCACTGATGACGTCTGGGTTGTGTCTACCTTTTGGCTAGTGCTCATAGTGCTGCTATGAACATTGTTGTGCAAGTATTTGAGTCCCTTTCAATCCTTCGGGGTATATACCATGAAGTGGAATTGCTGGATCACATGGTAATTTTACACTGAACTTTTTGAGGAACTGCCATACTGTTTTCTACAGGGCCTGCACTACTTTACATTCTCACCAGTAATGGTGAGAGGGTTCCAGTGTCTCTACATCCTTGCTAACACTTATTCTGTTGTTGTTTTTTAAATAATAGCCATCTTAATGGGTGTGAAGTGGTATCTCATTTTTTGAGATTAGTTTTTGATTTCATTTACAAATTTTACATTTCCTTATTGGTTAGTTATATTGAGCATCTTTCTCATCTGCTTATTGGCTACTTGTATATCTTCTTTGGAGAAATGTCTATTCACATCCTTTGTCCATTTTTGAACTGTCTATTCACATCCTTTGTCCATTTTGTCATTGAGTTGCAGTTCTTCATATATTCTTTATATTAATCCCTTATCAGAGATATGCCTTACAAATATTTTTTTCCATTCTGTGGATTGTCTTTGACAACCTCTTGACAATGATGTTTGATGCAGTTTTTAATCATGGTAAAGTCCAGTTTATCTGTTTTTTTTCTTTTGTTGCCTATGCTTTTGTGTCATATCCAAGAAGCCATTGCCAAATCAGTAATGGTGGCTTCCACACCTGCCTACACAGTTGTAGGCAAAGGCCTGGTGCTGGTGGCTGCTGAGGTTGCAACTTAGGTTGTAGAAGTAATATCCAGCCAGGAGTGTGTGATGGCATGCTAAGGCCCAAACCACTTACTTGACAGAAGAAACAGTGCCCGTTTGGTGCCCTAAAAAAGAATTTTAAACCCCTGTAAAGTATTCAGCAAAAGCTTTATATAAATGTTACTGACTCAGGCTCTTGGACTCTTTAATCAATAGAAATTGATATGGCCAGATGAGAATTTCAAGCAAGGCTTTATTCCCTGCAGCATGAGGGAGCAAAATCAAGTAACAGGTGCCCTTGCTCAGGGCTCCTGGAGAGGAGCTGCTTGGGACCTTAAATAGGGTAACAAGGGGGTGGACTGTGGGTTGGGCAGGAGATGTGGCTTAGGTGGTTTGCCCACCCTCTGTGGTGCCCTGTTTAGGGATCACGTGCACAATCCTGCATTTGCTCTCAGAAGTGGCAGTTGGTTTGTGGACTTTTTT